ATCTCTCTCCCAAGGGCCGGGAATCAATGTAATGCAAAGGGACCAGAATGATGGTGTATTGGTCGCCTCCCCCATGTCAGGCACTGTTCAGGGCTTCTTATAAATGTACCTCACTATAGAGTACATGCAGTAGATGTCTTTCACCACCACAACCACCATACAACCCCCACCCATCCCTACCCAGAAGAGTCTAATTCTTTAGGTCTCACTTAAAGTGTCACTTCATTAGTGAAGCTTTCCCTGACCACTCAGCTTTGGTTAGATATCCCTGTCCTAGGTTTATTGTTCCCTGTGATTTCCCTTCGTTGCACTGACCACAGATATAATTAAATAATTATCTGTACAATTAATGTTTTCATGCCTGCTCAGCTGAAATCTCCATGAGGGCAGGTATCATATAAGTCTTGCTTTTCATTGTATTCCTAGAGCCTATCACAGTGCTGACAAAATAATAGCAATTCGACAAGTATTTCTTGAATGAACATAAGCATAGGTACATGAATGCATGGATGAATAGCAAAGCTAGATACAAACCTAGAACTCTCTGGCTCTTGGAGACCAGTCTGAAACTTCAGAAGTGCCCTACTATGCACTTGCACACAAGGACCTCACTGCCATAACCATCCCGAGATACCGCAGTGCTGTTAATAGGGCTTTGAGTTCTTTCTCCAGCAGTGGGAGTGACAGTAGCATTGCTCTGGCCACTTGTCCCCAAAGAGGTCTGTAAAATAGTTGGAGATCACGGATTCAGCCTGAGGCTGTTGGCAGTGATTGGAGGTGGCTGGGAGGAGACACTGAATTGAACCAAACCAAATGTCCTTGTGGGCATTTAGCCTCACTTTCTAACATGCTTTGCCAAGGGGCTGCAAAAAAAAAACAAAAAATAAAAACAAAAACGAAAAACAAAAACAAACAACAACAAAAAGCACAATGTTCTGTGGGGGATCTGGGTCAGTAAGAGTGACTGGATAAAAAGGAAGGAGAAAAACCTTCTCCTTGACAACTTTTAGGGAAGTAGAAATAAAACCCCAATATGGAACCTGCTGAAAATAGACTGCATGGGCTGTCAGGCTGAATGCAAATCCAGTGCTAATCACATGGAAATTAATTACAAGTTCTTTGTCCATATGCCTTCCTGTGACCCTTGGGGGGAAATCCTGCTGCAGGTGTCCCCCCTTCACCACTGAGGAGGCTTTGATGTTGCTTTCTTTGAATTCAATTCTTGCCACGGCAATAAGAAAAGCTAAAGCTAAAAATGCTAACAATAGAAATTTGATTTTTATTTCCAGACAAAAAGCCTTGGCATCCACAGGAGGAAGAAGTGTTCAGGCAGCATGTGACTGGTTGGTATAAAATAAATAAATTTAGAAAATAGCATATTATTAACTCTAAGTGTATGTGAGTGAGCAGGGATGTGCAGCCTTTCAGTAATGGATTCTTGGAGGAAGGGGAGCAGAGAGAGATGAGTCAAAAGATCTTGTGACAAGCCCATTTATCAAGCCAATTGCCTCCTCTGCCCTGGCCCCAGGGCGTGCATCTCTTTAACCCAGTTAAAGAAATTTAAAGTATTTCCAAGATAGAGTCCCTATCATAGTATCTGCCCTCCCTTCAGGCACTTAAAGATACTCTTTAAGTGCGTGGATGGTGGGCAAACCAATTTAGTAAAAACCTACTTATGTTTCGGGATATCATCACCCAGGGTAGAGCCTACAAGTCAACCCTTCTGAAGCTTCCCTTGTCTTTTGGGGTACAGGGTTTAATCATAGACTGAACTGAAGGAACAGGCAAGGGTTGGAACTGTCCTGGTGGATTAGGAAAGGATTTGGAGTTTATTTAAGAATGCTTCCTGGATAGTGGCTTTAGTTTTGGTTTTTTTTGGGGGGGGGTTGTTTGTTGTTGTTGTTTTGGTTTGCTTGTTTTTATTTTTTAGGGAGTTGTAGGCTGCAATATGACAGGCAGAAAAGAAGTTAGTGTATCTGAGAGTTGGTTATATAGTGTGAGCTTCGAGGGGTAGATTTTTAAAGCGCAAAAGGGAAAACCTTTCTCCTTGTGGTGCCTGAGTGTGGAGCATCATAGGGTGGGTCTGTCTCTTCAAGTTCTTCTTTCCCTTCCATTATTCTCAAGTGAGGCCTGACTGGCTCTTTTCTCCCTTTCAGGTTATTCTCCCATGTGGGCGACCCCTTCCTGGATGACCCCCTGCCCCGGGAGTACGTGCTCTACCTCCGTCCCACTGGCCCCTTAGCACAGAAGCTCTCTGACTTTTGGCAACAGTCGAAGCAGATCTGCGGGAAGAATAAGGCACACAACATCTTCCCCCACATCACCCTCTGTCAATTCTTTATGGTGAGCTACAATCCCCCATCCCCTGACCTGGGGAGCCTGGTGCCCTGTATCTCCAACCAGCGCCCTGTGAGCAGGAGCCAAAGTCTAAAAGCCTGTCAGGAATTAGGCAGAAATAGTCATGGGCTCCTAGAGTTGGATAGGCCTTCAAGGAGTCAGTGAGGCTCATGGCTACTCACCCAGAACCTCTTTTTAATATCTGCCAAGGCCCAGACACATGCCAGGTTTGGTGTGGCATCATGATGACTGTGTGCTCCTCAGAACCCTAGCGACAAGCCTGACCCACTGAGTGATACATTGGTCTGGCAGGCACAGCAGGAAGAGTTGCAGGAATAGTCACTAACTTCGCTTCACCTTTATATATTATCTGCCTTTCTACTCTTACAACAGGAAGGAGTAGGTATTAGAGAGCTGGGAATAAGAAATGTAATCTATAGACAGGGAAAGTGACTTCAGCCACATGGATGCTGTCCACAGATTTTTGTCTCTCTGGATCTTTCTAGAGATGACAGATACCTTTCACCTGCCATAATTCCTAGTCCAGAATCCCAGCTATCACAAAGTTCATTTAATAACTAAATTAAATCCCCCTCACTATATGTAATATATTACTCTACTTTAGCTCTCTGTATAGATGGATAAGAATTGATTTATCCACATATATTCAAGACAAGACAGAATGCTAGCACTTTAAGACAATATTTTATTTTAATATTTTAGGTTTTTTCCCCTAGAGATATATATTTCTCTCTCTATATCTCTCTCTCTTTGTAAAAAGATGTTCCTAACACCTTCTCTTGTACCATTCACTTTGAAAATTAAAATGATTATTATTTCCTCTTAGTCATCCTAGGATCTTTCTCAAAAGCTTTCAGAGTTTAGAGACACTCATTCTTTCTTCCAGTTCTCTAAAGAGGGTAGGAGGATGATGTCACAGTTTTCTGAGCTTCATTCTTCCCAGCCACATGGGGGTGGAAGTAGAGTCAACTTTTGATCATCTAAGAGGAATAGAAAAGGCACAGGTGATGTAAAACAGTAGAAAATACACAAGAATTCATCCTACTCTCCTGGTACATTCCTCCATTCTTTCTTTCTGCTGGACCAGACTTCCTGCATTCTGGCTAGGATAGAAGGGGCACATCAGAGCTGAGAGGGAGGGAAGATGTCAACCATACCCCAGTTTAATTTACCAGTTGGATAATCTGTTTCCAGATAATTGGGAGTCTGCAGCTCTTCTTCTTCCTCACAGACAGAAGTGATGGCTTAGTAATTGCATCATCAGTCTCCAGCTCTGGGCAGAGGATGCCAAATGTTAAGTAGTAGCAGACATCTATCTCCCCTTGTCTCTGAATGTAGCCTCTTGCTTTCCCCTTCCAGTGTGAGGACAGCAAGGTGGATGCTCTAGGGGAAGCCCTGCAGACCACTGTCAGTCGCTGGAAATGTAAATTCTCAGCTCCCCTGCCCCTGGAGCTCTATACCTCCTCCAACTTTATCGGCCTCTTCGTAAAGGAAGACAGCGCAGAGGTCCTCAAGAAGTTTGCTGCCGACTTTGCTGCAGAGGCTGCATCTAAAACTGGTGAGCCAACACAGCTTCCAGGCCAGCCCTGGGTCCTGTTAACCAAAAAGTTGGGAAGAAAGGGAATAGGAAATTATTGTTGAAAGAGTGGGATGGAGTCAGGAGGTGGAGGGTCCTACAGAAATTGGCAGAACATGAAAATACAGCCATTTCCCTCCAGCAGCACCCCACACCTCTTTCCTCCCTCTCAGAAATATTGAACTACTGTCCTGCTAACTTTCCAGAGAGAATATCCAGTGACTACTCCCTAACACAATGGCTGTTCCAAGTCGAAAGTATACAAACGATTGTTCCTCATTCAACTATAAATGTATCCAATAGTAGCACCACCATCTCCTCTCACTTCCGAATTAAAGAATCTTTCTTCCTCCCAAACTCCCTCTCAAGTAAGCATCTATCTAGGTCTCACAGTTCACTCCTTGAGGACCTAGAGCTTTGCTCAGAGGGTAGCATAGCACAGAGAGTGAAACAGAACCACTAAGTATCAAATAATAATAAAATCCACTGAGCCAAACTCCCTCCAACTTACTAAAACCATTTAGACAGGCCCCTAAGCCTCAGAAGTCATCCAAAAATGTCATCCCTTCAAGATGTCTCCTGCTCTTTTTATGGCATCTCTTAGTTCAAGCAACTGAAATTTCCCATCAAAGGAATTAGCTTAAAGGGATGCTCAGGATGTGTGTTGATTTAGAGACAGTGGTAGAGGCATGGAAAGAGGAAAAGAGGGAGAAGTGGGTAAAGTTTCTCCTGTCTGACTAGAGGTGCAGGCAAGCTCACGTAGCTCAACATGAACTTTATCTGCAGGAAGAAAGACTAACAATGAGGTGAGGGGAGTCTCTGTTGGATTCCTGAAGAACACAATCACAATCAGCAGGTATATATTGGATACCTGCTATGTGTTTATCCATGAGGAATGCGACAAAAAGTAAGAAGTGGTTCCTCCTGGCCAGAGGCACGGTGGGGAAACCTGATTCAAGCACCATGTGCTAAGAGAGCTCTGAGAAGAGAGAGGCCATCATGAGATGAAGTGGTTCCACCTTCACAGAAGAAAGGACACTCACACTGGGATAATGTTGATCCCAGTGGAGGAAGGGCCCTGCAGGAGGGTGGGCCGCATGAGCACAGGTAGAAAGGAACAGAGGGTGCAGAGGACAGTATGGAGGCCACCCTGACCAGAGTAGAGGGTGCAGAGGACAGTATGGAGGCCAGCCTGCCCAGAGCAGATGGTGTGAGCTGCACAACTCAATCTGAGTGATGGGGTGCAAAGCTGGAGGAGACCTGAGCTTGCCAACCCCACACTGCAGGGAGAGTCAGAGGCCAGAGAGGGAAAGACTTGAATGGAGCCACACATTTTGCCCCTTGGTCTCCTGACTTTTGGCCTATACCTCACCTGCCTTTGTTCCTTGCTGCTGTTTTTATGCCCAACTTGGGACATTTTGCTCTGAGTTTTTTACCAGAAAAGCCCCAAATAAGGCTTGGAACTCTAGGGAGCATGTAATGAGGGCCCAGCATCACTGAACAGGGTCACAGTAAGATCTCTACTCTCAGGGGAACTCTAGGCTTTTAAGACATCTCCTCTACTTCGGGACTGGGGCCTCCTTACACCTCCTCCCCAAGAACTCCCTTTTCCCCAGGGACTAGTGTCTGCTTTATGACTTGGTGGAACCTGTCATTTCAGAGGAGCTTAATACTTTAGAAAAAGGGCATAATAGAGAGACAAACGATTTCCTCTTCCCATCCCTCAAACTCAGGGAAATGGCCCTTTCTTATCCCACAGCAGCTATTGTCAAAACCACTAAAACGCCCACAAGAACCAAAACTAATGTCCCACAAAAGCCAAACCCTTCACAAGTGAGTAAAGCAGGTCTTGGCCAGGACTGCAGCTGATTCTTAAAGAGCAAAATGAGTGAGAGGTAATCAGGCCCTTTCTTGCTTTCCTTGTAGGAAGGGGGAGAGTCAGTTCCTCTCCAGGAATCTGCTACCACTCTCTTAAGAACATGTCTGGCTGGCTTCTCAGCCCTTGTGCAGCCCCCTGGTGGTGATTTAGAGAACTGGGTAGCCCCACTATATGTAAATGGCCCAGTTCCTTGCAACCTAAAAGCATGCCTTCATGTCTTTGCCCTAGAACTTGTGCCTAGAAATTCTAGAGTTTTTGGCATTACCAGATTTCTTTAGAAGTAGATTTAGTGTCATCCTTCATCCAAGGTCCTTTAAGAAGATTCGTTCATGTGTATTCTTTTATTTAACAAACACAGAAACCCTATCACGTGCTGAGTACTAGGGACACAGCGTGAACAAGACACAAACAAGACAAGACAAGAACAAGACAGAAATTGTACTCAAAACCAAAAGATCCAACTTTTATTTCTATCTCTGTGTGATTTGAGCAAGACCCTTAATTTCTCAAAGTCCCAAAATTCCGCCTAGTTGCATCTTCTTCAGTGCCTAACTTAGACAGTAGATGAAATGTTCCTCCACTTAAAGACATACAAAAGAGAAGTAAAAGCCATTCCCTTGAGAAGGTAGGTTGGGTGGTTTTGTTTTATTTTCTAGGGTGTCTTAGAATAACAGTCTGTATTCTTAGCTGAGTTAATTTTGCCCCCCAAAGGACATTTGTCAGTGGCTGGAGTCATTTTTGGTTGTCACAACTTGGGGTTGCTACAGGCATCCAGTGGAAGAGGCCAGAGATGCAGCTAAAGACCCCACAATGTGCAAAACAGCCCCACAACAAAGAATTATTTGACCCAAATGCTGTCGAGAAACCATGTTTAAAATTATTTTATTTTCTTTCATTTCCTCATCAGCGCCACCCGGAAGCTAAGAGACTTTATTTAAAAACAAAGGCAGTATAGCTCTGGGACTCACACGATTATAAAATTAGCTCTTTGTTTCTATATAAGTTAGTTCATCACTTTAGGCCTCAGTTTTTTCATCTGAATAGTGGGGCTGGTGATAATGGAGTTGGGAGGAGGAGCAAACCAAAACGATTCCTTCTCAGCTAATCCATAGCACTTACAGATATGTGGCTCCTTACCTTTCAAATTGAAGGTCGATTCAGGATTTATTATCTACCACCATACCCCCTACCCCGCTCCCACACCTTCCCTGCACACCTTTATTCTGCTGCTGTGAAGGAGAGAAACAGCTTTGTCTGACCGCAGGACTCCCTCCTTTGTTATTTGGGAAGCAGAATTCTATGTTCTTCCTTAAATTTCCACCATTGCTATGATTACCACTTTGTAATAACAGACTGTTTCCTTCCTTTTTCCAGAAGTACATGTGGAACCTCATAAGAAGCAGCTGCATGTGACCCTGGCTTACCACTTCCAAGCTAGCCATCTACCAACCCTAGAGAAACTAGCTCAGAGTATTGATGTCAAACTAGGGTGTGACTGGGTGGCTACCATATTCTCTCGGGATATCCGATTTGCTAACCATGAGGTAATGGCTCACTGTGGCTCCTGGCGCTACCAGCAGTGCAGGGGTGCAATCAGAACCAGGAGCGCTTTTGCTGCTCGGTGTCGCAGGGTGATGGGTACCAAATGAAGGCAATGAAACGAGCACCAGACAAGGAGTCATCTGGCCCAGGCTTTTGTCTAGGTTCTGCCAGACTCACTAGGAAGCTTTGAGCTTGCATCCCTCCTCTCTGGGTGCCAAGTAGCTCGTCTGTGTAATATTCTCATTGTTCTGTCTTCCCTGCCAACCTTATTGGAATGATATAGATATTGAATGGGAGAATAGATATGGGAGAAAAGTATGTTGGAAAAATTTTAAATATTATATTAATTCACAGCGTTAATAGATAAAACACATCATCCTGATCTTAGGTGAAGAGAAGAACACATATATACAAAAAAAATCTGTGAACATACAATCAACAGCTACTTGCTGACTATTTATGACATGCAAAGTACCATGGAACATAGGAGAATTTTAAATTATGATCCTATCTTCAAGGAGCTTTGAATCCAGTGAAGGAGAAAGAATAGACACACATGAAATTAAAGCACAGACCAAACATGGTGAGAATTTGTGTGTGTCACATGGGAGACATCAGTGGAAAATTTGAATCCCAACGCAGGTGGAAAGTTGGCATGATTCTGGCATCCTTGTTTTGAGGGAATCCATAGTACATTCCAGGAGAAGCATGTGCTATCTCTGAAAAATAATATAGTCCTTTTTCATTTCCAAAGGAGAAGCTGAGACAAAGTGATTAAGTGGCTGGTCCAAAGCTAAATAGCAATTCAGGACCACAGCTGAACCCAGAATCCAAGGATTCTGACCAGTAAGGATAGGAAATCCATCCAAAAAATCTTTCCATAGTTTAATGAAAAATTTGTTATCCAATTAACTACATTTATTTAACAACATTTGTATTTGTTTATCAGGTTCTGAACAGCAAAAGAACTGATTTTTTCTAGTTTAACATCTCTTTTAGATATTTTTTCAATGTGAAAAAAGTTAAAACCTCAGGGTCTATCAGGTAACCTCATCACTGATTTGGAAGTGTTGGGAAGAACTAACCTATGAACCCCAGGTCCAGGCCTAATGATCTGGCCTGTGAGTGTCAGGGACATGCAGCTTTCTCTGACTCTGCTGATGGGAATGTCATGTCCTTTTTCTGAGTCATTTGATGCAAGTTTCTGTGAAAACACAAGCAGAATGGGTTGATCTTACTTAAGAATTCTGATATTTCCTAGAATTGCTTAGGATGAGTCCTAAATATAACTGGAAAGGTGTGGCTGATTGGACTCCTTCCAAGGGCAAAGAAAAAGAAGTTAAGGGTTGTATGCAGCTGGACTCTGAAAAGTCACCTTTCTAAGAGAAGGAAGGTGAATTCAATGGAATTTTACAAGAAATATCTTCCAATCAACACTGCCCTCCAGTTAACTTAAAGGGTAATTGCTTTCCTGCCTG